ACTAGCCTAGCATGCACAGAGCCCTGAGAAGAGATCCCAGCATCACGTAAACAGAGCCTTGTAATGCAGGTCCGTCCCCCAGCACACGAGAAGTAGATGCAAGAGCATCAGCACTTGAGGGTCATCTGCAGCTACATGTGGACTCTGGAGGCAGTCTAGGAGATACGCAACCACGTCTCAAAATAAATGAATAGATAAATTTTGAATGTTGATTTTCCTCTCTTTATATATTTCTGCCTAAATCCTACATAGAAACCCCTCCCTCTGCCAAAAAAAAAAAAACCTAAATAGTAGTTAGGAGCCTTAAACTAAGTAGAAAAAAACCCCAAGGACAAAAATGCATTTAAAAAAAACTTTCCAGGCAGACTGGTGAAAAGTAAAATTAAAAAAATCCACAATAAATTCTATTGCATGTTTGTCACTTTAATTTGACAATTTACACTCTAAAGTGTTTTGTATTTAAAACTTTGCCATTCTTTCTATGACTAAGATTTATTATTGACTCATAATAAAACAATATTTGAAATTTAGCTGTTCCGTTTGATCTCACTTTAAAGTCTAATGCCCATTTTCTTATTACGGTAAATAAAAGAAAGCCAGAATGGAAATTATATATTCACTGTGAATATAATCATGTTTCTAAAACATGACTTTGGGATGAGAAACATAAACCATAGGCATACATTTGTAGAAGTTTCCCCCATCAAAATTTCTAGGTATTTTTACTCATTCATTTTTATGGAAGAAAATTATATTTTAAACACAGAAAAACTACAAATTCTTAGGAATTTCTTGATGAAATTTTGTGATCTCTGGATTTTTCTGGATTTTTTGGTTTTGGATATTTTTTTTAATCCAGTGTTTTTGTGAAACTGCAAATTATTTCCGCTCTTTATCCAGTTACACAGTATATATACTGAGGCTTCCAGATGGCTTCCTATAACAAAGTTAGAGCAATCTTGATTCTATTAAACACACTCCATGAAAACTTCCCAAAGATAAATGATGCAAATACATTATGACGGGGAGACCAAACACTTCAGAATGCAGAAAGGTCTTCTTTAACTCTGGGATACATAGAGACTCTCTGTGATGCTATTTAAATGCCGAGGACGCTGCTGAGTTTACACAGGCGTTGAACACAGGGGGAAAATGAGCCTGAATTCTAATTCCTCTTTTGCTCTAATATGCTCTACTATTTGATAACTCTAATCATTTGAGCTTGTTGTCATGTGCAAAACATAGAGAGAATATCATTCTCTCTCTCTCTCTCTCTCTCTCTCTCTCTCTCTCTCTCTCTCTCTCTCTGTGTGCTTATGTATGAGTCATAGACAATGCAGGTAAGCATAGTTAGAGAGATCACTAATGTTATTTTAACATTACTGGTTTCAAATCTGTATCTAATGATCCAAAGAGAACTAGACAGTAATTATAGAATGTGTCTTATTAGTGACAATATTAAAAAGCCTAATTGAATTTCATAAGCTAAATGGAAACCAGAGTTCAAAGAAAAGCAGTATGTTCAGAAACAAAGCAATAAAGAGAGCACTGCAGGTTGAAAAACATACCGAAGACTATGCAAAAAAAAATGATGCTGTGTTTCAGAAACCTTCACTTTAATAAATCAAAAAAGTTCATAAATTATATCAGTAAATTATGTAATAGAATAATATTTCCTGGATAAACAACCAATGATTTACGATCTCAACTGCTAAATTCATGTATTCAAGGAGCTTACCTTTTATAAAATTGTAATAATAATGCTTCATTTTTTTCTTAGAATATCAAAATATCAGTGAAAATTAAAATGTGTTGCTTTTATAAGCAGGTGAGCAGTAAGCTGGTTTTGGAGCCTAAGCAGGCATGTGCATTATGTCATAATTATTTAATGATCTGCCAACCCTAACAGCTATTTAAGTAGATGTGCTATGTTATCTTTTGAAGTAATACATGAATGGACAATCTCTTTTGTTTATGAATACCACTCTGCTAGACTCCAGGTGCTCAGATCATGTTTGTGGAACTGAATTGAACTGATTAGACAGAGCTTTTGACAGCCATTTAGCATTACAGGCATCTTCAAAGAAAGCTGTTCAAGTCTGGTAGAGGCCAAGAGCCCCAGAAAACTGCCTGTGCTTCTTGCAGATAGCAGTTTAAATATCCAGGGCACTTTCACTGGTCCATAAGGTAGGAGGGAAGAAATGCCCCAGTAAGCATACTTGTATGAAAGGAAAATCAGCTCACTCTGGAAAAGTCTGTTCCTTTCTCTTCCAGAAACCAGCAATATATAGTGAGTAGTATGTACATATATTTTATAATATATATCATAAGGTATCTAGTTTCTCGATTCAGAGAAGCCTCAGGAGAACTCGGGGTGGAGACCTACATGTGTAAAGAGAGCCTTCATCATTACCTTTGTGCACCATTTAGCAATCCAAATTATTCTTGCCAAACCGCCAGCATTTCAGTTAACTCTGGCTTTCTGGGTGCTCATCCAAACGTTTGTTTTTTTTTTTTTTTTTTTTTTCATGTCATGCTCACTCCACGGCCATGGCCATTTTTAATCTTTAAGTTCTTCTACCTTTGGACTTCAGACCAATGATAGGTGATACACATCTTGACGATGTTATAGTTAAATGGGGAAAAATTCGGGGATGCAGAACATTAGAAGACACTCATTGAACACTTACCAAATGCCAAGCAGAGGGTTTTACAGGGTTTTCTTTCTCCAGAACGACTCTCCCAGGAAATGGGAAATTGATTTTCAGAGAGGTTATGTAACGTATTCAAGTCCAGAGAGCAAGTTAGAAAATAAGCCACAATTGCAACCCGAATCGGACTTAACCACTTAGTATTGATTATGTTGTTAATAGAAACGCAAATCATTAAACTTTACAGCACATTCAGTCTCCCAGGAGCACAAACCAGGGCACAGGGGCCATGCCTATATTCCCAGCACGATAGAGCCTGAGGCAGGAGAATTGCCATGAGTAAGAGGCCAACCTTGGCTAAATACTGAAATCCTGTCCCAAAAACAAGGAGAGAGAATGAAACCTTATCCGTTTTTCTATGTATGAAACCATTAATTTTTTTCTGTTCCTGAAGCCTAATTTAAGATGGAAAAAGTGTCAAAAGAATCTTTTAAATTATGAGTAAGTTTTGGACTTCTCCTTAAATCAAAGATCAGTGTCTTTTTCAGCCATCATCAGAGAAGCTTCCTTCTGCAGCAGCTGGGAGCACATAGAGATTCACAGCCATACATTACACTGAGAGAGACCTTGGAACACTCAGCCCTAAGTAGGATGTCTCCATAAAACCCCTCCAGTATGAGCTCAGGGAACTCTGCGGAAGAGGAGGTAGGAAGAGAGTAAGAGCCAGAGGGGATGAAGGACATCAAAAACAAAACTCATGAGCAAACTCCACATGAAGTCAGAGAGAGCAGCAGGCACAGGACCCGTGCGGTCTGCACCAGGACCTCTGGGCATATATTTCGTCTTCCAGTTTCGAGTTTCTATGACACTCCCTGAGTGTGTGAATGAGTGGGTCTCTGATTCCTGTATCTTCTCTTGGGCTCGTGTCCTTCTTTTGGTTTGTCTTGTCCAATTTTGATGTGATCGATATTGTTTTATCTTACATTTTATTTTGTTACATTTTATTATTATCTCTTAAAAGCCTGTTCTTTTCTAATGAAAACAGAAGGGGAGTGGATCCAGACGGGAGAGGAAGTGGGAAGGAGTAGACGGTGGAGAAACCGTGGTCAGGATATGTTATGTCAGAAAAGTATATTTTCAATAAAAGGGGAAAAATAAAAATAAAAACATTTCAGCATTCTAGATAAAGAATGCATTTCACATATACACAAAAATATTAGTACTCTTTAAGCTCTTGGTATAATTGCTCTTGGGGAAGAAAGCACAAGAACATATTGAAAGGCTGTGTAATACAATTACAGTGGAGTTGGTGGAAACTAGCAGGTGTTTCTGCGCTCAGGAATGGACGGCAATGTAACCTAACTGTCCAACCAACACCACGGAAAAGGCAAAATACAAAGGAAAGACAGGGGTTTCCAGAGGATATGATTCACAAACTTCGTAAACATACAAAAATAGGATGATGTAATGCATTGGAAAGGGAACCAGGGCTTGCACACTTTTGATTCAAAAGGAGAATTTGGAGACATGTCTCAGAGGGCCATGAAGGGCCTGCATTCAGCTGAGCGCCTACTATGTCCTGTGCAGTCTGTGTTTCCTTTCCTCCTGACATGACATAAAGAAGCTGACCCTTACTGCCACTCGCCCACAGTCGGCCTGATTTGTCTGGAAGAGCTCTTGTCTCTGATCTGGGCTCTTGAACAAAAGCTATCCTGTTTATTGAGAGGCACAATGAAGATGTCATCAAAAAGAATGAGGAAATTTTGTCTCAATCTTTTACAGGAATCTTAAAAGGGAGAAGATTGGGTTTGGGCTCTACTCAGAAAAGCCACGAAGCCAGAAGCAGATGTTATCAGTCTATACACACAAGATAAGTTCAATATTTTTCTTGTATGGGGACATTGTTTTCAGTGCCTTGATATTTTCAGCAACTAGTTTCAGGTCTAGCCAACACATCTTATGCACACATATATTGTTCTGAGACAAGGACACGAATGGGTAACACAGGAAATATAGGGCACGTGGTACTTGCAGGGACTTAAAGCATAGTAAGATTAATAAGATTGTTTTTCTTAAACATATTTGAGTACACACTATGTAAGCAGAGAGAGTATATAAATCATCTCAAAGCACATTAGTAGTAACTTGGTTATAGGTTGGGTGAAAGTTTGATTTGTAAAATTAAACTTTAAATAGAATTTCTCAGAAAATTCCTTAGCTCACCACCCTCTCCTCTTGAGTACACAAGTAACCAATTCTATACAGAATATCTTTATCCCAGGTTTTAGTTAGTACATTTCTAGCAACCAAAAAAAGTACAATAAGAATCTTAAGAATGAAGTTGGAAATATGGAAAATAAAATTCAGAGTCATATAATCTACAATAGATATCTGAAAGGTTAAATACAAGATTAGCAATTTTGAGAATAGAAAGAATTTATAAACTTCGATTATGCTCCAGAAGGCCTGTGCTCAACACCCCTGAAGACGGGCTGGAGAGGTGGCTCAGAGGTTAAGAGCACTGGATGCTCTTTCAGAAGACATAAATTCAATTCCCAGCAACCACATGGCAGCTCACAAGTACCTCTACTTCCAATTCCAGGGAATCTGATGCCCCCTTCTGGCCTTCCTTGACACTGCATTTTTATATGGTGCACAGATATACAATAAAAGAGGTAAGATTTTCATACCAAGCAGCATTATTTGTAATAGCCAGAACCTGGAAACAACCTAGATGCCCCTCAACCGAAGAATGGATAAAGAAAATGTGGTACATTTACACATTAAAGTACCACTCTGCTGGGGAAAAAAAATGACATCTTGAATTTTGCATGCAAATGGATAGAATTAGAAAACACTGTCCTAAGTGAGGTACCCCAGACCCCAAAAGATGAATATTGTATGTACTCACTCATAAGTGGATAATAGCTATAAACAAAGGACATTGAGCCTATAGATCACGATCCTAGAGAAGCTAAGTAATAAGGTGAACCCTAAGAAAAACATATAGATCCACCTGGAAAGTGGAAACAGACAAGATCTCCTGACAAAATTGGGAGCATGAGGGTTGGAGAGAAGGGAGGGTGGAAGGGGAAGAAGCGGGGTGAAGGGGAGGGGTAAGGAGAACTTAAGGGAATGGGATAGTCGAGAAGAAGGAGGGACAGAGATGAGAGCAAGGAAAGACATCTTGACAGAAGGAACCATTATAGGGTTAGCAAGAAACATGACTCCAGAGAAATTCCCAGCAATCCACAAGGATCCCAACTAAGACCCTAAGCAATAGAGGAGAGGGTGTTTGATTTTGACTTGCCCTGTAGTCAGACTGACGAATATCTTAAATATAACCATAGAACCTTCATCCAACAACTAATGGAAACAGAGGCAGAGACCAGCATCAGAGCACTGGACTGAGCTCCTAAAGTCCAGTTGAATAGTGGGAGGAATGAGGATATGAGAAAAAAGGTCAAGACTATGATGGGTTCATCCACTGAAACAGTCTACCTGAGCTAATGGGAGCTCACCAGCTCCAACCAGACTGGGAAGAAACCAGCACAGGACCAAACTAGTCCCTCTGAATGTGGTCGACAGTTGCATGGCTGGGGCAGACTGAGGGGCCACTGGCAGTGGCACCAGGACTTATCCACACTGCATTTACTGGCTTTTTGGGAACCTATTCTCTTTGAATGATGCCTTGCTCAGCCTAGATATACTAGGGAGGGCCTTGCACCTTCCCCAAAGTAATGTGCCTTACCCTCTCTGAGGATTGGATGGGGGTAGGGTGGGAGGGTGTGTAGTGGGAATGGGAAGAGGGGAGGGAGTTTTCTTTCCTTCTTAATGGCCCTGAGGTAGTTTCTATTGCTATCGCAGTCTCTGCTGGCCTTGTGCTCTTCCATGGTTTACAGAACATTGGTTCAGGGGCTTCTGGCTTTCATCGTCTCCACCGAGAAAGCTGCTCTTATTCTCATGGGCCTGCCTTTGAGTTCAGCTTCATCTTTCTCTCTTTCCGTGTCTCTTCTTTGCACATTTAGTGTTTTGACTACTATAGGATGCAGGGAGTTTCTTTTCTGGTCCTGTGCATTTTATAACCTAAATGACTCTTGAGTTCCATAGGTACCTCTCTCCTTAGATTAGAAAAGTTTTCCACGATTTTATTGAAAATATTTAATATTCCTTTGACCCATGTCTCTTCTCCTATACCTATTATTTTTAGTCATGGTCTTTCTCATAGCGTCCCAGAGTTACTCTGTGTTCCATTATTGGGATTTTTTTTTCAATTTGGTATGTTTTTGAGTCACTCAGTTCCTCTACATTGTCTTCATGACCTTGCATCCTCCCTCCACTTGATCCAATACCTTGGTGAGTCTTTCCTTTTTCCTCTGTATTCTTTGTTTGAATTCTCGATTTTTTCTTTTTCTTCTTTCTTATTAAGATTTTTAATACAATCTTTTTTCATTTTACATAGCTATCCCCATTCCGACTCTCTCCCCTCCTCCCGCTTCACCCTTCCCTGCACGCCCCCATCCTCTCCTCAGAAAAGGTAAGGCTTAAACATGGGGAGTCAACAAAATCTGCTACTTCACTTCACTTCGAGGCAAGACCAAGGCCCTCCCCCCCCCCCATATCTAGGTAGAGCAAGGTATCCATCCAAAAAGAATGTGCTTCTAGATGCCAGTTAAAGCACTAGGGATAAGCCCTGGTCCTACTGCCAGTGCGCCCACAGACTGCTCCAGCCTCACAACTGTCCCCAACATTCAGTTGGCCTAGTTTGGTCCTATGCAGGTTCCATCGCTATCAGTCCAGAGTCGGTGAACTCTCAGTTCAGGTCAGCTCAGCCCAGTGCTTTGCTGTAGATCATAAGCTATCGTTGGTGTTTTTGATCTTAGCCATTCTGACCTGTATAAGGTGGTATCTCAGAGTAATTTTGATTTGCATTTCCCTAATGGCTAAGGATGTTGAGCAATTCCCTCATGACTGCTTTGGGCTGCGACATCAGTGTCGTCTTACTTTTGGACTCAAGCTGAAATGAAAAAAAAATCCCAAGTGTTAAGCTCATGGCCTTCAGCCTGGAGTGACGCACTCAGCTCTTCTGCATGTTCAGTTTGCCAGGTTCAATCATGAGTCTTGTCAGCCTCCATAATGGCATGAACCAATTACGTATGATCTTTTTGTGTCTAA